TTGGAATTAATGTATTGATATGTAATTAACCTTTAATATCCTTTCAATGCAATTAGTCATATTTTGATCATATTGCTACACCGAGAGGCAATGGGCTATTTTTATTCATAACAAAGTACTAAAGAAATATTCTCTTATTGGTGAAAAAAAAGAAGCTATTTTGTCCTGCAGTATGGTACCCTGTAAAAAAAACTTTCAATTCTTTGGTGAAAATGCTGTGCTGGAAGCAGAAAGTAAAGTGGGCAGGCAGAGTCAAAAGCAAAAGGGAGCAGTGACCTGAGGAACAGAAGCTTTTGTGCACTTGGGTTTGGTTTTCATGCAGCCTTGTTACTTTTGGGTGTATGCTGTGCTAACGGAGAGCCTAAGTAGTCAGCATTTACAGCACACTGGCTTCTGCTTCCCTTAAAGCTCTACGGATTTCTGCAGTCTGAACGAATGCTGTGAATGGCAGATTTTAGTAACATTTATGTGTAGGATAAAATGATTATAATTATTGCATTATTAAATTGGTGTTTATGGAAATGTAGTAATTAGAATTAAATTATCATCATAATGCTCATTTGATTTTATATGTTTGCAAAATTTCCTGTTAATATTAAGTTTTTATTTTTAATATTGCCATCGCATTTTGCCAATGTTCTTTGCTTTTTTTTATGATACATTTTTTTCCCCAGCTCCAATCCTCTGCAGACACATTAACAGTGTTTTAATAGCTTCACACCAATGAATGTTCCTCAGTGAAATGTGCATCCGCATTGACATCACGATGAGCGAAGTTCCTGCAGCGAGTATGAAGGTGAGACCTATCTCATGAAAAAAAATAATAAATACCGATGGCTCCACTGTGACTCATCTGAAACAGATTTTTCGATTTGGAGCTAACTGCCGACGTTATCAACCTGCTTTGCTGAAAAGAAGACGCATGATCCAATAATAAACATATACAAATAGCTGTTGTCTATTTCTATGCCCAGCTCAATTGTTAGGTATTTGTTGCTGTTAGAATTGGAAATAAAGCAGTAAAATTTCAATCTGTCTATGTGTCAAAGAGGCATGACATTCAGTCACATGTAAGTGTCAAAATCATCCTCAGGGGTCCCATGTACCTTACCCAGTTAATAAAATCATTTGAAGGATAAGCTGATCCCAGAGGCCCAGTAGTCCAGCCAGTGGTCCAAATCTCTGTTTTTACAGCTGTGAGTCTTTGACCTGGACTTACATTGTACTGCAACATGATTGAAGTCTATACCAATGGAGGCGGAGCCCCGCAGTTCAGTGACTCCTATGCTCGCTTTGAGTGACGCAGCCTTCTTTTTGCTTCCCTGCACTCTTATAAAGACAATAGGTTGCTTGGATGTACAGATGTAATGGTGGAGCAATCCAATATTTTGGAGATAATCATGAATTATGTTGTTGGACAAGGTTCAAGTTGGGGGGGGGGTCACTGAAGTTATGCACATCTCTTTTCAGAGTGATGTGTCTATGTGTCTCTTAGTCACTGAGGTAATGCACATCTCTTTCCAGTTTCATGGGTGCCATGGTCATCAAAGTCGTGCACATCTGTTTTCGGTTTGATGGGTGGCTTGGTCATCAAAGTCATGCACATCCACATCTCTTTCCAGTTTCATGGGTGCCGTGGTCATGAAAGCTGTGCACATCTCTTTTCAGTTTGATGGATGGATTGGTCGTTGAAGTCATGCACATCTCTTTTTGGTTTGATGGGTGGTTTGGTCATGAAAGTCATACGCTTCTCTTTTTCACATTTGATGTAAATATCCAAGCTAAGGTATGATATGAGGTTAGGTTCCAAATTCATGTCCAACAACAGAAATTTAACTGATATGCTTTTTATTGTGGCAAAATATATAGCTAATCAATGACAATGACCATCTTCTACACCACTTATTCAGTACAGTGTCATCATTATCTTGGAGCCCATCTTGGGCAAAATAAGGCACAAGGTACAGGAACACTCTGGAGAATATGACAAGCCAGTTTAGAGATGCCAATTTATCTAATTGTGAAAGGAAACTGGAGTACTCAGGAGAAACCTCCAGAAGTCTGGGAGCAGGAATCAAACTCAGTATTACCGAGTGTGTCACTGTCATGTCCTTAAAATGAGGATACTGTATGTTAATCTGAATAGTTGAATAATTTAATCTGAAGAAAATCAGCAATCAATTTATCTTTTCATTAATATATTTTCTTGCCGAGTACCACCATTCACATTTTGTACTGTAAGGTTTAAACATTCCAAACAGCATATTCTAACAATATGATAAATTAAGATTATTTTTGGATTTTGAGGGTATGTCAGGACCTAATGCTTTTATGCAGATTGACCTACATTCATAGTCCTGGATATTTTTACTGAAGCCATTCAGGTTAAATATCTTGCTTGATATCCACAGCAGGGCCTTGAACTGAGCCAGGAAGCCATGAATTATAGGACCATATCCTTTGGTTTACAAAACTACGAACAGTAAGCCAGTGGTTCTTTGGCCAAAAACACAGTTCATCAGATGAGAATGTTTTAACCATTGCGAAAACTTTAAAAATGTCATGCCTTGCTTACGCTTTCTGTCTAAGTGTCTTTTATGGTACATAATACAGATATGGGGGCAAATAAAAGCTACATACATATCACATTGTTTAAATAACGTTTAAAGAGCAGTATCTGTCTGTAGCATCAATCACTGAATCTTCTACACTTAATGTCTCGGTAATCTCTGTCTTTGTATGAACATTTCAATAAACAAAACTGTATTTTAATACAGCTATATTTTAGGCATAATACATGCACTTAATTTTCAGTTTTTCCATTTATTTAATGACAAGCTTCGATAAGCGTTATACAAACAAAACAGTGTGTGATTCTAATTAGAATCACCGTAGGAACCTGCCATCTCAGTGACCGTTGCTGCATAGCTGAAGAAACACTTTTTAAAAATATTAAAAACCATTCATTTAATCTTTCAATCGTCTATCTTTGTATTGTGGAGGAATACTGGCCTCCGTTACACTGGCAATATTAGTTCTCTCTGGCCTTCTGGAAAAAAGTATTGATCTCAAACATTTCCACCTTTCCAGTATCTTGGCTCCTGTCACCGGCTTTCCGAGGAAAATGTACACACTGAGCTGGAGGGAGGCATGGGAATAGTGGTTTTTTTGTTCCTCCAAAAAACTGGGGCAGGAAGATGTTCGAAACCAAAGTTTGGTTTAAGGGACTTTCTTGCATCCTAAATTCTATCACCTTTGCTTACATTAAATGCTTTATTTGGGAGAAGACAATGCCTGCAAGTGTTTACATGGGATTCAAACTCATTGTTGATGTGCAGGTGCGGACAGCAGTCGTGTGACAGTGAGCCGGCGTAAGTCGTCTGGTCCTGGCGGGATGCAGAAAAGCCCTATTGTGTAATGGAGTGCGAAGGCTGGCCCGTCTGTGTGGGTGCCCGCTTGTCCTGGTAAACATGAGTGTGCCAGGTGTGCTGGTTTGAGAGCGACTGGCATAGCCACAGGGATCACTGTCGCTACCCATTCTGTGTAAGTGATTCTGCGTTACTCCATCATTTGCTGAGAGAACAATGAGCATCACTGTACCACCTCAGAAACTCATACTGTATTATATTCATTGGCTATTTTGTACGTATTTTGTATTTTGTATTGGTTGCATATGCCATCTGTTTTGTTTGTGCTGCTCTTGGAGTTGCTAATACAATCTCATTGTACTGTCATATGCAGTCACAATGGATTGAATTGAATTATTTCATTTTAAGCTATAAAACCCAGAATTCAAAGCATACATTCATGTTTCATTAAAAGCCAGTTGGTATGTTCAACAAACCTTCATTGGTATGACTATGTGGTGGATGCAGTGCCCATATTGCCACTCGTTATCATAGCACAGAAAGTGTAGAGTACAGAATAACTATTGTTAGTCTTTCCAAAAACAGATCGGTCTCATTAATCTAACACTCAAATACTGAATTTTGCATGGGTCTGCAAAACTGGAGACTTCTGCACAGGATGTACTGATAAAGTAAATAAATTAAACTCTCTCGTCTTTTTGGTGCATTATTTGCATCACACGCATCTGAAATGTGACATAAAAATAGTTACACTATATACGATAAATTGCACGGCGAGAAATGTGGCGTTCAAAAACAGTAGCAACATGAAAGGCCTATAATTGTATGAAAATATAGTATAAATCTTCATACAGCCCTAATTTGCATATAGCCTGCTGAGCATACAGACTTGAGCATAAACTTTAACTCCATTCTCCTTACTGCACTGCTTTGCTCTCCCCTCAATCAACTGATTGATTTTCTTGGTCAGAAATAGGGGCTGAGTGGTCACATTCAGCAACAGAAAGATTTGTTTGTGCACTCAGGCCTTGACTTGCAAAATGAATCTGCATACCATTCATCTAACACAACTGTCTGCTAGGGTGGACGGTGGTCATTACCTTTAAAAGCATATATGCTTGAATTTGACTAATAATCTATGTGCGTGTTATGAAGTTATCTGTTATATCTCTTTATAAATACACAAACATGATACTTAAAACTGCACTTTTTCAGTTGAGTATACCCGTAGTCCATCAACTAATTAAATTTACATAAATTTTTGTCTATATGCGTGTGAACCTCAGATATTTGGTCAGAAAAACTGTTTCCTAATCCTGATCCTGTGCATAAGAGGGCAGAAACTATCTAAGCAGCATGGTCAGACTGATTTATTTACTCAACTTACTAAATCTAAAGGATTCACAGAAAGCAGAACTCTCCAAAATCAATTTGCCTTCCTAGAAGCAGCTACAAAAGCTGAGATTCAGCTAAACCCAACAATCAATATAGGTGATTTTAATTCATCTTAAAGGGAGCTGGCAAGATCTTATAAGCCTTTCTGTTGATGAATTTGGTAGCAAAAAAACAAACCTGTCAAAGTTTTGCAGATGATTCATGCATAAGTGAAAAAACAAGGATAAAAGCGCAGTGCCAGGTTGGTTCATCACATTTTATTGCATTATAAAAAGTAATGCGAACCAACCACATTGGAATTCTGGGTAGGTACAGATATCACAGTGCAGAGCTAAAACACTCCAAATATATAAACAAGTAACCTTTAAAAGCTTAAATTAAAATGGGACCCAAGCTATCTAGCTGGCATGCACAAGTGATAAGCAAGGTCTAATAAATGGCAGATTTAAACAAGACAACCTTATAGTTTTGTTTTTAAATTATGGCTTACTTCATTGGGTGTTTCATTTCCCTGGTAACAGTAAAACTGTCTTTCATTTTTTGCTCTTAGGATTGAGGGCACACTCAGAGATTTAATCAGCTGTGGAAAATTCCAGAAGGCTTGGCTTTTTAAAAAAATTACAAAGAATTTTTCCTGAAGACTAATCAGTTGTTGAAAATTTGTCGTAAGCACTGATGACAGCTACACTTTAAATGGTACATAGCAACCGAAAAGTGTATCTCACTGTCTGCTTCATCTGAAATTGGTCTCAAGAGGACGGAAAGATGTATTGTGAGCCAAGTGACTCCTCTCTCTGTGCTCTGATCGCTTCTGAGTTCATTGTTCCCTTTGTGATATCATCGTAGTGAAAGCCTCACAGCCCTTCCAGGTATAATCCTCAACAAACAATGCTGCAACAAGAGAAAAAGGAAGCCTTTCAGCCAACGTCTTTTATCCCCCACTCACAGTCATTGAAGTCGAGGTGGCTTCACAAGGACATCATACAGTATGTCCATGAGGAGAGAGTGTAAAGCCCACAGGACAGCGGTGGGAGAGAAGCAGGACCGTCCTTTGTGGTAAAGTGTGGCATAGTTACCTCACAGGAGTCTGCGGATACTGATCTGCCTCGCCAGACATCTGATTCTGCCGAGGCTGCATGCGTCCAGTCTGTTGACTATCTTTCCCAGGTCCCTGTCCTGTGAAGAAATGATGGAGGGACTTGACTGGACCCGTTCCTTGTCCTCCTTGTTCATGTCTCTCTCATTTTCCTCTTTGTCACTTTCTTCTTCCTCCTCGGTGATGGACCCCAGTCGGTAGATGCCAGGAGAGCTGTCCAGGGGCGGCCGGTAGTGACACTGGCCATTGAGCAACCTCCGTAGGGGCATCCCTGGCACCATGTCGCCCCCTAACAGCTGCTGCTGACAGTGTCTGAAATCATTCTGGCGTTTAAACCGTTTGAACTCGTTGAAGGCAGCAGTGGAGGTCTGGTAGAGGCTGACTGCCATGGCCCTGGCCTTCTCAGGCTTGGTGACTAGCACCGCATGGCATCGAAGCACCACAGCCTTGTTCTTGATCTGATGGCGGTAGATCCAAGCGAAGATCTTGGGTCGTCGGGAATCGGCCGCACAGTACGTGATGCGGTGGAGGACGAAGAGGTTGCCCAGCTTCTTGGATGCCTTGTCGTGACTCAGTCGGATGCCCTGTAGCCCCACGGTCAACTTCATCTTAGTGCTCTGCCCGCCGTAGTCACTTTTGCTCCAGATTTTGGCCACCGCTTCCTCGGTGCAGCCTTCCCCCTTAGCGTTAAGGGTGACGGTGCTGCCCAGGTAGCGCACCGTGTAAGTGGGCTCGTCCTTGTTCAGCTCAACTTTCTGCCTCTTGGTGCGGAAGACGCTCCCCAAGCGCTCGAAGGCGTAGTCGGGCAGCAGGTCGGGGCAGGATCGGACCAGGGACGAGATGATGGAGTGGTAAGTCAGCCCTGCACTCAGGCTTTTAGGCTTGCCTTTGGCCTCGTCCTCGACCAGTACGAATTTGCTCCGTCTCCAGGGCAGCATGACTGGGACAGGTGCTGGAGTGGCTTTCCCCGCTCCTGGCTGCTAACTCTGTGTGCTTGAGAGAGAGAGAGAGAGAGAGAGAGAGAGGAAGGCTCGGCTGAGCTGTGCGCTGAGGGGAGACTGCGAGCGAGAGCACTACTCAGCCTCTTCCCTGCTTGCTGGCTCCTCCTCCTTCTGTGCCTGCATCACACAGCACTGGGAACTCAGCCCTCTACTCCAACGCCCTCCCTTCAGCTCAGTCACCCCCACGCCGGCACTTGCTTTCCCAAAAACACACATGCACGCTCTCAGCCGGCCCGCTGTGCTTGTTTTGAGAACATTTTTCTATTTTTGTGTGCGTGCACAGCGCCCAGGGAGGGGCCACAGCGCCCGGGGAGGGGCCACAGCGCCCCGTCTGCTTGGTCTTCCTATTAACCAAGGTAGCAGGGAGGTCAAACGGAGCGGCCGCTGAAGAACCCGCTATCCTAATCAGTTTTTGTTTAGCGGGGGAAGAAAAAAACCTCACCGTAGATGCCAGCCATTTTTGTGTCGCCCATAATTAAAAGAAGGTCCTGTACGTGTAATGCATAATTCGCACGTCCTCTGGAGAATTTGTGAAAATGGAAAGTTTGGAGGATGAGGCTGCATGCAGGTGTGAACATAACAAAAATGCTGAGAGCAGGAAAAAAAAAACAAAAGCAGTTAGCAAAGGACAGAGCTAAATATTTTTTGCCATCATGGGTATTATTATTTAATTTGTGTTTTTGTCTTGCTTGTTCCAGTTTACTTCTGAGTCAGCAAACCCATGATACCACGCTGACTCTTCTCTCGTTTTTTATTCTCTTGTCTATGCTGAAAAAGCAAACCTGATCTGTTTAACAAGAAAATCCCTTTCTTCCCTCAGCACTCCGGCCATAGCAGAATTTTGTATAAATTCAGTGCAATTACTATATATTTTTTCATTTCTGAAAACATAAAGTTTAGCCACAATAATCTGAGTAAATTTACCGTCAGTGTAAAACTTACCAAAGCAAGTATTGTACAGAAAACAATCCCTGTCATAAAAATACACAGAATTACTGCAAGCCAGATTTTCGAATGAAAAGATTTACTTTATTCTTATCTGGCAGATCATGTTACAATTTGATTAATTTCACAGTTTTATGTTGAAATTTGAAATGAGCACACTGAAGATATTTTGTATGGGTTAACCTTGAGGGGAGAAAGATATAAATCTGCAAACTATTATTTATTGGTTCTGGGAGTCACTGCTAGATACTCAGTCATTGAATTATACATTTAGCTGTATAACTGAAAATAAAGAATGAAGAAACCAGTGGCAAGAGCGTCTGGTCCTGGTAGGATGTGTGCCGACTTTAAAATGTCACCTCTAAGGCTGTCCTTTATGAAAATGTACAGAAAATCAGGCAAACTACTTAACAGATTTTAAATAAAAAAAATTAACACATTGTTAGATTGCACTTCTATGTTTTTGTTTTTGCCCTGCAAATTGCAGTAATAGTATACTACATATACTGTACACCTGTACTAGGTTATCAAATTCCATGTAATCAGTTATAATCAAATGCATTCACTGAGTTTTCAGACTTAATCATGTCTTTATGCACTGATTAGTATGTGATCTACTGCCGTTTTCATGCAGATCTTGTTTTTTGGCTTAAATTATGATTGATCACTGGGTTTACTAACATCTATCTTCTGAAATTAAGCGAGCAGAATCACTCTCTGAATTAATTGTCTTTTCATGACAAAATTTAAGTATATATACCGCAATGCCTTAGTGCGGGGGTGGCCAATCTCATCCAGAAAGGGCCGCTATGTGTGTGGTTTTTGCTGCTTACTAAGTACTAATTAGAGCACTGATTTGCTGAAGAGTCCTCACACCTGGGTTTGAACAGCTGACCTACTGTAAAGGTTACCCCAAAAACCTGTATACACACTGGCCCTTTTTGCATAAAATTGACCCCCCCCCCCTCCCTTAGTGTGAGTGTTTGACTGCTTTCTAATACTTTAGTAATGTAATGATTTTTGGTATAGTTTAAATTATTTAGCAGTGAGTCTATTGTTAATACATAGTTCTGGCAAAATACATCAAATGACACTTTGTTTTTAAGTAATATAAATGAAAATTTATCAGTTTAATTCCCGACACACTGGTCGTAGCGTTTGGCTGTTTCATATAATTCATGTAACATTATGCCATTTCATGTAATTCAGGTAACATTATGCCTTCTTCATGTCAAACCTTCCCTTAGCACTGTGGGTTTAGCGGAAACTGAGGATTAAAATGTAAATATAGCTGCATGGGGACACCTGTTGGCCAGTGTGAGGCTCAGAGGATAGAATGGTGGTCTGAATCTCATCTCGACACAGGGGTGGTTTATGGCTCGGCTTGTAATCGGAAGGTCATTGCTTCAAATCCCGACGCCGGCAGAGTGGTTTTACCATTGGGCCCCTGGGCTGGATCCTTAACCCCAATTACTCCAAGGACTGACTGGCCCTGCTTTCTCTTTTATGTCATCTAGATTTATCACTTTGGATGAAAGCGTCTGCCAAATAAAATAAAGTGTTCCCTGGGACTCTGTCTGCTTCCTCCCTTAGTCTGAAAGTTCAGCATGTGGTCCATCCATCCATTCATCCATCCATTTTCTAAAACCGCTTGTCCTTTTCAGGGTTTCTGGGAGTTCGGGGTCCATACTGGAGGAAAACCACATTCACTCACACATGCAGCATGTGGTTCAGTATTTTTAAATTCCCTTAAACTTTTAAATTGCGTGTAATGTGTGTCCTGAGAGGATCTGCTATCCAGCAGCCTCTGATAAACTCACAGTAATCCTGTATTTGAAGTTATGGACAGTGGGTGGTAATGTCACCTTAAAAATCTAAATTTATGTCGTAGCAGGGAGGAAGAAAAGAAGAAAAAAATTATGGGGAACACCAATATTTTGACTATCCTCAAGTTTCTAAAACAAATGGGAACTAAAGTGTCACCCTGTGCGATAAGAGGTGGAGACAATCCAAATACTCTAATGCAGTTTCGTTTAAATTCAGAGGGCATCGTCTGGTGACAACCAAATTGAAACAAATACAGTTTTTTTAGGCTGATTTCCATTTTAATATTGCTGAGCAGGGATGACATTGTAAATGCACCAGAAAATGTTTATAGTGTTTATAGTACAGTGTTCAGGGTACAATCAATGACAGCCAGGTAGGACTTAAACTACTGACACGGCACGTCTTATTTTGACCATTTCCGCAGAAGGCAGACGTATAACCATCCTTATTGAATAAATAAATAAATAGCCCCATGACCCTGGCCAGGATAAGCAATCTGTAAGATGGATGGATGGATTCAATACATCTGATACAGCTCTTGAGGTTTCTTTTTAAGCACCGTTACGGTTTTCTCGTAAGTATTTGTGTTGTATCTCAGCTGGCCGAACAAAGCTGTTTGTCGCATGCGATTGATTTATTGTTGCCGATTCCACGTGCACTGCCAATTCCTCCTAGCGGTCATACTAATGTAATGAATTAGTCGTCGACTTTTCTTAAGTGCACAACTCCGAAGCAGTCGATTAGCGTTACGCTTGTGCTGCTGACGAATGATATCCACTTTCGTTCATGCCTTTTCCTCCATGTAAGGTCGTTTTCATGATGTGGGCCTGTTATTTTGTCCATCCATCCATCCATCCATCCAATTTCTGTGCCCGCTTGTCCAGTACAGGGTCAAAGAGGGCACAGATTGGGACACCAACCCATTGCATGGCACAAACACACTCTCACCTAGGGACAATTTTGGGAACTCCAATTCACCATTTCTTTTTTTTGGGGGGGGGGTGTTACAATGACTAGAGCACTGAAATGAAACTGTTTGCCTCTATTAGTGTGAGGACAAGTGACTGAGATTTCATTGACTGCCAAAAGGTCCGTTCTGTGGTCAGTTTTTATCAGTAGGAAGGACACTTTCAATATGGAAAGAATACATGGAGAAAACAGCTTTGGGGAATGTTTAATTAATAAAATGCATTTATGACTTACTGCACGAGTGAAAAAGCATTATATGCTGTGCTGCTTCTGGGTGAGGCAGGATGATTCGTGCCATATTGACTCTAGCTGTGATATTGATTAAATCCGGCCGGTACCCTCTCAATGGAAAGCTTCAGTAAGAACCACCATAGCGTTTTCAAAACACCAGGGGCAGGATTTGGTCACGATGCTGAGTGGACATACAGTAAAAATGCAAACTGTGCCTTTATAACAATTTGATATGGCAGTGAAACTGCTCCAATCCTGATTGGCTAATAGGAAATATGAAGTAAAACTTTCATGGTGTGATTCATGATAAAGGGGGAAGGTCGCCTTGTGGACATGTCTCTCATTTTCTGTCCAAGGTTGCGTATAAAGCTGGTTAAGTGTCGATTTTGAATGCTTGTTACAGTGCCTGTACACATCCTCCATTAGACTGGGCTGCCCTGCCCTTATTGACACAGATTTGTATATGCTCAGTTCTCTGTTTCTCTGGGTAGCTGCTTCTGTGTAAACACACAAATTAGTTCTGTAAGAAAACACCCACTGGCCAACAACGGAACCCAACTGGGCCACCACAGGCTCTGAATGTGTATTGGTCTTTCTGTGCGATCTTGAACAGTTACGTACTTACCCTTCAATACAAATCCAATTTATACAGTTTAGTAATTGTCAGAATATTTTATTTGGTCAGTTTAAGGTTGTCCTGATTACCTTTGAGCAGTAATTTCTGGTAGCATTTGCTTTTGGACAATCAGTTCTAAAATGACGAAAGGCTTCACTGCTTTACCATAAGTGATTTAAATTATATACTTTAGCAGTAAATTATTGTTTTATTATTAGGTATTATTGTTTGAACTATTGTTTTAAGCATGAATTATTTATGTTTATTAACTGTAACTGTAACTTTTGTTAACAATAGTAGAATAGTATAAAATGCCAGATGTATTTGCATTTCTTTCATTTTATTTTTCTCTTTGTCAGATTATAATGGTACCAAATTAGCCTAAATGAGCTGTGAACAATGAAACAGTGAGAGGAGACCTTTTTACATATTGAATTGATTTCTTTGACATATCCATGTATAAATGTCATATCCACTCAAGTATCATATTTTTGCAGCGTCCATCTCATTTGCATGCAAAATAGACACACTGAGATTAAATT